GAAATAGCTATACTACGTTGCCATTGTCTACGCCGGTATAATGAAAACATATCAAAAAACCTCAGCTCTTTTCATGTTTCACGGTACTTTGAGAACGAGTATGTTTACTTTTGCAATCGACTTTATGAATTGAATCTGGAATTAGTCGATGAACGAACACCTAACGCTAACGGAACATAGTCATCCGATTCTGCCTTAAGGCTCACTCTCGAGGCCGCACAGCGGCTAGTAGTGTAAGAAACCGAACATTGTCGGCAAAGACAAGCTAGGCTGGAATGGCCATTTCTGACTTATTAGCCATCACAGCCAGTCATACCCAAACCCAGGTGGTACACCAGCTGCGACCTGTTGATCGGAATTCCAACGATCTATCTAACGTTCATTTGCTTAGCCACTGTGCGGCTGCTAGCGGGGCTCAAGAATGAGCCCCGAGGCAGAACGGGACGAGTGATTTCCGGTAACGATCGGTGAGCATTCATCCACGGATGTCAATAATCCCTATCTAAACCAGCAAGACAACGCTCCCGTGACCCCATGTTAGTTTTGGACTTCTGATCAACAAATCTGAGGAGGTCTCATACAGAACTACCGGTTTTTGATGAATCGGAGCCGTCTTTATTGACAATGTCCGTCTGAGTGTATTATGCTGTCGGCCTGCACGGTCTTTATTTAACATAATCAGTGAGGAATGAATACATTTAAAAGTACTTCTATGCATTTTTAGCAAAATTAACTCGAATTTGGTGAACATCCCATCAGAATCTTCCCAATCATCCCAGCTGCTGCAATAAGAAATATAACTGTGAGATTTTAAGCTTGCAGACGGGATGGCCAACGATCGTTGGTCAGCATTTTCTCAGGCTAAACCACTTGCGTTAGTAGTCCAATATGAGCAGCTATGGAGAGGCATCCATTTAGGAATTAAGGTTTATTGCTCGAGGCAAGCTGACTTCGCTTTCCCTGGGATTAGTGATTAGGGAGGATTAAGGCTCATTGCCGAAGGGTGATTTGGCTGGGCGTTTATGGGATTAAGAATCAAGCTTATGGGAGTGGGATCTGTAGAGATCCGCAAATTATGCGCAACTGATAACTTGGCCTTACGAAGAATTACTAAAAATGACCATCTGCTAATTCGCCCTCTACAAGACCGCTAAATTGGAAGTTTCATCGATTTAGCTGATATGCATACATTTACAGATAACTATAAAGTCACCCCAGTGATGCCTTCCAATACGAAAATTGGCTTTCTTGCATGCCTTCATTTTAATAGTGTACGCCTTCCTGTTTCGGGGTTTCAGTGTCTTAACACTTCTAGTAATGTAACCATCTCTGTAAGTTCACAAAAATGGGAAATTTAAACACAATGTAAAAGGTGAA